CGCACCATGGGTGGCAAGAAGGTCTGCGTCGTGGGCTCTGGCAACTGGTGAGCACCTGCTGCCTGGGGGCCCGGGTCCCCTCTTGGAGCACAGCACGGTCCCCATCCTTCTCGGTGCCTCATGGCACCCGGTGCAAGCCGTCCCCGTTTCACCGGGACCCCTGTGCGAGTGACATGGGGCTCGCTGGTGCCAGTGGATTTGGTGCCCGCTGCCTACGGCTCTGCTCTGCCCATGCAGGGGCTCGGCCATCGCCAAGATCGCTGGCAGCAATGCGGCACGGCTGAGCACCTTCGAGAAACAGGTGAACATGTGGGTGCTGGAGGAGGAGGTTGGTGGCCGGCGGCTCACTGAAATCATCAACACGGAGCATGAAAACGTCAAGTACCTGCCGGGGCACAAGCTACCCCCCAATGTGGTGAGTGTGGCCTGCTGGCAGCCTCTCTGCTGGGCACAAGGGCCGGTGCTGACAGCCAGGCTCTCTGGTCAGAGGTAATCCATAGCTGGGAGCTGTTGGAGCCCTGGGGTCCTGGGCACCGGGGGTTTGAAGGTAGGAGATGCACCGGGCTGCATGGGACTCAGTTACACCCTCCCGGTGACCTTGATCCACGCTTGGACAAGCTGCAGCCCTGGCTGCTCTCGCTGCCCACCTTTGCCCTGGCATCCCACGAGCTGGGCTTGAGGCCATGCGGTTGCCTCGGGGTGGACATCAGCAGCGTGCAGAGAGCCTGCTGCCCCACGGGGCCTGCTGCCCCACAGCTCTACGCTCAGCCCCTTGGCACGCTCTGGCCTGCTGCGGTTCCCCAAATGACCCCAGCTCTGCGCCACCAGCTTGGGCTGCTTTCCCTCTGCTCCAGCCGCCCTGCCCTGCCAGCCCTGGAAGGGCACCTGTAAGGGAAGCCCCCAGCAGTTGCTCTCAAGCCCCTGTTTTGTCCTGGATTCGGGACACGCTCACTGCACAACTACAGGCACAAATCCCTGATGACAGTTGTATCCTGTTCAGGTAGCAGAGCCAGACCTGCTGAAAGCCTGTGCTGGGGCTGACATTCTCCTGTTCGTGGTGCCCCACCAGTTTATCGGCAAAGTCTGTGACCAGCTCAAGGGCCATGTGAAGAAAGATGCTGTTGGGGTGTCGCTCATCAAGGTGTGCGCAGGAGGAGCGCTGCCCGGGCAACTCGCTGGGGTGCTGGGTCGGGGGATTTACCTGGAAGCAGCCTGGCTCGGAGAGGCTGCAAAGGGAATCTGGGGATTCTGGAGCAGAAACCGGGCTCTCCAGGGTTATGGCTGGGGGGGAGAGTGGGAAGTGGGAGCAGAGTCTTTGTGGGGATTTAGCGGAGGAGAAGGGTGAGGGCATGTGGGGGATCTCGAGTGCTGTGAGGAGAGGGGTGCAGCTGAGCGCAGGGGGGCTGTTGGGATGACAGTCGGAGCACTGCAGCACAGGGAATAGCGGGATTGGGGCAGGTGGGCCCAGGTCTTGGGGGGACAGGGCTCATCCCTGTCTTGGTCATGTCCCAGGGGGTGGACGAAGGACCAGATGGGCTGAGGCTGATCTCAGACATCATCCATGAGAAACTGGGAATAGAGATGAGCGTCCTCATGGGGGCCAACATTGCTAGTGAAGTGGCAGAAGAGAAGTTCTGTGAAACAACCATTGGTAAGGAGCCAACATCCCTCCTCGTTAGCAGCCTTCATTTCTGATGAGCAGGAAGAGGCAAAGGGGTGAGCATGGTGCAGCTTAAACTCCCGTCTGCCTCAGGTGAGCCAGCCCTTTCTCCCTGTGGAGGCAGTGAGATTCCATAGGAGCTGGATGAACTCATTCACAGGTTTTACGATGTGATTGCTCACGTCATTAAAAACAGAGTTGTGCGTCTGTAAGTTCTGCTGGCATGGACTCTGAACATCAGGCAGTCTGCCTGGCACAAATTAAAGGGGTGGACACTAAGAGGCCCTTTAGAAATAGAGCTCCTACCTTCATTTCCTTGGGCTTCAAGGGATGCTCACCTGGATCTCATGTTATTGCCAGCCAGAGCTGCTTGAAAGTTCATCTGGTGACTGTTCCTAACATCCTCCGCACTGTGAGTCATGCACAGCAGCCAAAACCAACAGAACAGTTCGCTGGGTTAGAAGTTACAGGATTCAAAGTGTCTGTGTTTTAAACAAAAGCAAACATGCTGTGCAGGAGGCCGCAGAGACTGGAGAGGTATAAGCAGAACATGCTCTCACTGCGAGCATGCAGAAATGCTCTTGAGCAGGACACTGCAGGAACAGGGAGAACAGCAGTTTCCAAACCCAGCTTTGCAAACTTCGAAGATGCTTTTAATCTCCTGGGCATGTCAGTTCTGTCTTGTTTGACACAGCAGTAGGGATCGTCCCTGTCTTCTGGGAATTCCAAGGTTGAACCTTGCTCATCTGACGGGCAATGTGTGCTTGGCACTTTGTGGACCTGCAAATGTTTAGCAACGTCCATCAGTTGGGCAATAGGTTCCTCTTGCTATGCTGCAGGAACATATCACCGGGCAGGAAAGCAGCACGGTCCTACCTCGGGGTCTCTGCCCATCATCTTCCTCCTCCTCCCTTTGTCTCATCAGGCTGCAAGAACATGCAGCATGGGCAGACGCTGAAGGAGCTGATGCAGACACCGAACTTCCGGGTGACAGTGGTGCAGGAAGCTGACACTGTAGAGATCTGCGGGGCTCTCAAGGTGGGTGAGCCACTCGCCAGGGTTTGTGGGTCTTGGTTAGCAGAGCCTGCTGTTCTCTAGGGCCCTGCAGGGAGCTCTGGGGAGGAGGCTGCCAGTCAAATGAACCCCACTGGACATTGCACTGGGGCTCGCTGAGACCTTTGGGTCAAAGGCTAGGCTTTGGAGGGAACCGTGGATGTGTCCTGTTCAGCTGCTTGGAGGGACGATGATCGCTGGCACAGGCAGGGGCAGGCAGGAGCCTGTCCTTGGGACCACACAGGCAGCTCATGGACACAGCAAAGCCCTGAGCTCCGTTTGGAACAGATCCCTCTGCGCTGCTGTTGTTTTCCAGAACGTTGTGGCTGTAGGAGCTGGCTTCTGTGATGGGCTTGGCTATGGAGACAACACAAAGGCTGCCGTGATCCGTCTGGGACTGATGGAGATGATTGCCTTTGCCAAACTCTTCTGTAAGGGCCCCGTCACCCCTTCCACCTTCCTGGAGAGCTGTGGAGTCGCTGACCTCATCACTACCTGCTACGGTGGCCGCAACCGCAAGGTGGCTGAGGCTTTTGCCAAGACTGGGAAGGTAAGCAGAGCGGGGAGGAGGCAACATCGATATCTGCATCAGCCTACTTAGTTACTGGCTGGAGTTAAACCACGACAGCAGGCAAGGAGGTGGACCTAGCTAGCACCGTGGTATCCTGCTTTCACTCGCCCCGTGCCACAGTCTGGCTCCAGGGAAGGAACACGGGGCAGCAGAGGGGTTGCAGGGTCCAGCTCCCCCCTCACTGTTGGGTTGTTTCAGTCTATTGAACAGCTGGAGAAGGAGATGTTGAATGGGCAGAAGCTGCAGGGTCCCCAGACATCTGCTGAGCTGCATCGCATCCTTAAAAGCAAGAACATAGTGGAGAAGTGAGTGCTGTCATCTCTCTTGTCTGCTCTTTTGGGGTGGGGCTGGGATCTTTTCTGCAGCTGTGGAAGGGGAAACCCACCCTTAGCATCTCCACTGTTCAGGTCAGTCTCTGCACTGCCCAGATCAAACCTGCTAGGCAGGAATGGCCTGTTGGATGAGGCACCGTGCCACTGTCCCACCTGCTCCTGCCCTGTGGTTCTGCATGTCACAACAGAAGTTGAGGTGCTCTGACTCTGCCGGGTCTGGTGACAGTGCAGGGGGTGACTTTGTTCATCTACCCACAGGTTTCCCCTCTTCACAGCTGTGTATCAGATCTGCTACGAAGGCAAACCTGTCACTGATGTCATCAAGTGTCTCCAGAACCACCCTGAGCACATGTAAGTGGGCTCTGCCTGCAAAACCACTGGTCCTGCCGAGATGAGCGGAGAGCTGCTGCCCGCACCAACTCGCTGCTGCTACAGCTTTGTAAGGAGTCCGGAATTCCTGGGAGCCTTTGCAGAGTGCTGGAAGGGCAGAGGTTCCCCTTCTCAGCCCTGGACACTGCCAGCCTGAGCCTGGCATCTGCACAGAGGTATCTGCTGATCTCCCTCTCTTTGAAGGGCTCGTTTAGCTTCTGCTGCTGTCTAGGGTCTGGCCTGAGCGGGGCTGAGCGTCTTCCTCCTTTCACTTTCTCTTGCTGTGATGGATTCTGTTCTTGGAAGGACTCTGCCAGATCATCTTGATCGATACGGGCTGTGCAGGAGGCACTGCCTGGGAGGACAAGCTTTGCTGTTAGCCCCACGGGGCCACTTTGCATGACACCAGCCCTTTCCTGCTTGCTGTTGTTGCTTTTGGCTTAACTGCCTCGTGGAGAGGGCACGCTTCCCTGCCAGGCTCCACCAAGGCAAGAGAAGCTCCTAAGGACTTTCAAAGGGTCTGAGAATCACTCTTCTTGCTAAGAAGCACCAGCACAGAAAATAGCACTCTTTCTTTGCCACCCTGCCACATGCTGCTTCCCCAGCCACCACCAGCTGCTCCGGCTGAACAGTACAGCCAATGCTTTGTGTTTGAGGGCAGCTCCGGAATGAGACTTTACAGCTTGTTTATTTAGTTTTTTGCTCTTGCAGTCAAATCTGCCCCCTGCACCTGGGGAACTCCCCTGTTGTCACAGATTGGCCTGTGCTAATTCCATGCCCACTGTCCCCAGACAGCCTTTCTCCCTCATATCGGTTTGTCCTCTGGCTGGCTTTGGCAATGCAGGGACCAACTGCCCCAAAGTCTTTCTGAGCAGCTGGCAGGCTGTGTAGCCCTTGGCTGTGTATCTGCCAAAGCAGTTGGGTCATGTTGCTTTTAGATGAATGATCCACATCATTGCTTTTTGCCTTCTCTCTGGCTTGCTCCAGTCTGTGCCTTAGCCTGGTCTTTGCTTCTACGCGTGGCTTTATAGGAGATGAGAAAGCAGGTTCCACACTTTCCCTGCTGCTCCTCCTGCAAGGGTGCTGGAAACTGCTCACTAGCACAAGGGGCAGCAATGGACATGTGATCCACGAGAGGTACAAGGAGACCTCCAACATCACAGGAGAGGACAGAGGTCTCGTGCCTTTGAAACTTGCCCCTTGTCCGGCCGTGTGCCACGTGCCTCTCTGGTCTTCTGAAGCTGGCTCGCTCCGCTCGTGTTTGCTCAGGCCAGCGTGTCCAGCGGTTCACTGATCCCTGTCTGGGCCGGCAGGCTGGAGCTGCTGCAGGTCTCGCTCTCCACCCCCGTTCCAGGTCCTAGTCTCTGACTAGCAGTGTACTTTACAAATGTTTAAAATAATAATAAACTTGGAGAGGAGAGGGGAGACACGCTCTTTGCTCTGTGGCTCTGGTGCATCATTGTCTTTGGGTTGGTGCCTGCTGGACTTGCTGCGTGCAGAACAGGGCACTGTCAGTTCCCTCCTGGCTCTGCACCCTTGTGTGCTGTCCCAGAAACAGCAAGAATGCCCCCGCAGGTCACTGCTCAGTCACAACATTACACAGTGTCCCACTTGCTTTTTCTCAGCAGTGGTTCCACTGTTCAAGTTTGGCTGCAGGACCAAAGGGGGTTGAGGTTGAAATGCTGATCTGGGTTCAGAATCCAAATTCTTCTACCTGGGGCCTGCAGGAGCCAGGCCAGGACCCTGCTGTGCCCCGTGTACCCCAGGCCTCCCCTTCTCTGATGTCTTCGCTTCTTGGGACGTGCTGTGTTGTTTTATTCATCTCTTCCCAACTGCTTTTCCCCGACTTGCCTTGTCCCTGTCTTTCTTTGAAATGTGTCTCGTACTGAGTGACCTTTCCAGGACTGTTAGCCCTCTGCTCGGCCTCTTGCTAGGGGAATTTAATCTGCTGGCACTGCAGTTGTTTCTGTGCCTTTTATTAGACACGCTTTCTCACTAGGCACCCACGACCTTTAAATTCAACTGAGCTATCGTACGGAAAGTAGCCAGCATCGGCTTCCTCTAATGAGGAACTTTATTGAGGTTGGAAGGAGGATAAAGGAAGTCCAGTGTGTTCCTGGAGGGCTGGCACGGCTTCTAGTTCCCTTTGTCTTGAAGTGCTTCAGGAATCCCAGCTCAAGCGTTTGGACATGAGGCTCACAGAGGAGCGACGGCCTCTGAGCTCTCCTCCCTACACACATTGCAGTCTCGCTTTGCTAAACTCTTGCCAGCACTTGCCCGGAGCTGCAGCAAGATCCAGAATTGGATTTTGTACTTGCGTTTAGCTTCCTCTGCCATGGAAGTGCTTTGCAAATCCCTCTTCCTGTGGGTTTCTCTGATGCTGCGTACTGCTGGTGGTGCCCTGCAGCATTTGCTGAAAGACCTACGTCTCACCTGCGTGCGGCCAGTGCACAAGTCTCTTGCTGTTAGGACCTGTGCCTTGCACTGGAGTTCATGAGCTATAAAAAGTCTTCCCTTTGCCATTTGGAGTTATGTTCTGCAGCCTCAGCACATCCAGGCACTGCAGGACGCTGCAGCCTCCGGAGTGCCGCTGTGCAGCGGCCTGGGGAAAGGAGGAGGGAGGGGGGGGACAGCCTGGCTCTTGCAGCCTCAGGGCTTGACGGAGCCCTCAGAGCAGCGCTGTGGCAGCACTGTTTATGGCTCGCAAGGAGCTCCGGGCCTGGGAGAAGAGCAGCCCTTGCTGGCAGCAGCTGCCCTAGTGCTTTTGGAGGAGCATGGCCTCCTGAAGGAGGCTGTCGGGCTGCGAGCACAGGCTGGGCCCTCAGGGAGGGCGGCGAGGCCTCCGAGTGCCTCAGCGCTGGAGCGGGACCGGCACGGCCTCGGCTCCATCCCGTGTGCGGCTGAGGACA